TACGTATAAGAAGTGACCATAGATAAGTTCATATATTGTTAAGATCAGTTTTGTTTCTTTCTCTTTTTTCAATTGCTCGTTTACCATATGATAACAGAGCGATTAAAAAAAAGCCACCCTTAATAATATACAAGGTTACTTATGACCAACGAGTAAAACATTGATAAAACTCATTATCTTATATTTTTATATTGTAGAAATTTTTAGACGACTATTAAAAGAAATGTTACAATTTCTTATTGTCATTTTTCTTTTCTGTCACAGGATCGATGAACCTGTATTTAACTGAACATAGAATATAATCTGTCCGAGTGTATATATTTGCTAAGAATTAGCTTTGGGTGTGAAACGATAGAAAGAAAATTTTCCCAACAGGAATAATTTCACATTATCTACGTCACATACTTTTAATGGATCATCTGATAGATATCTGTCGAAGTTTCAAGTGTCACTCATCGTTTAGCTACGTCAATAAATTGCATAAAATAACAGGATTTCCAAACTAAAACAATTTGATGAGTTACGCAATCTTTTTGCTACCAGTATGAATATATTGAATTTCGCAAGAGATTACAACACTTACAACATTTTGATAAAAGTAAAAGAACATAAGAAAAAACAACAGAATCGATGATGACGAGCCATTATATTTGCTTTTCATTCTTTCTATTCGTTTCAATAGTCTACTGTGGAATTTGTGTTTGTTATGAAAGTATATAGTGATAAAGAAGATGAAATATTAAGCATACTTACCTACCACGGATGCATTCACGATCAGAAACTTGAATGCTCCAGGTTGAGGCGTGGGCATTGCAGATCGCCTTCGTTGACACCTGCGAAAAGTTCATATCGGGCTTTCTCGAGTGGAAAATTTGTTACGGGGTCATTTGCGTTCGCGCTTTGACCATTCTAATAAAATCAATATAAAATATTGTTACTTGAAGAATGATCAAATTTTGATTCTCAATCATTATGAACACTTCTTCGTCTTTATTGCTGACTTCAGTTTGTTTAAAATTTTATAATAAACGATTAAGTGAATTTTATTTATTAATTGTTAATCTTTAAAAGAAAACAAGAATTTCGACAATCTTTACTAATTGATCAATGATTAAACGAGGAATAGCATTAAGTTCAAGAGATATTTATTTAAAATAATCAAATAAAACATCAATTAAAAATGATAATTATTAATTGAGGAGGCTGTGGGTGTCTGGTGGTTGTCGGTGTCGATGTTTTTCATTAACAGGGTGTGGGTGTGGGTGTGAGTGTGGGTAGAAGAGAGAACAGAATACTCACACCCACACCCACACCCTCTCTGAAAAATTTTGACAATTATATTGAAAAGTTTATATGAATAACTCATATATCATCATGTTTCTATACCCAAATACTTCATAACTTAAAAATTGAATATCTCTGTCCAGACAAGCCATGGGCAGCTCATATTTTAAATTCGTTAGTTTCTTGTCGAAAGCCTTCTTTTGACTCTAATATGTTTAACTTTCTCGCTCAACAGGTCACACACTTCCATTGTAAGAAGAAAAATAATATTTACTTCTACTATCGGAAGCAACTCAAAAAAAAATACAGAATTTTCTAGGATAATTTTGTTTGCAAACGTATCCACTGAAAAAGCTTTGCTCGTTTTGATGAAATTTGATAATTTTTTTTCGTAAGATCAAGATCTCGAACTTGATCTTGTTTCAACTACTTATTAATTGAATTTATAAAAAATAGACAATCGTTTGTGAATATCTTTGTCGTATAAGCATACATTTTCTTTTTGTTTTGAAATAATATATTTATATAAAACTACATTAAATTGTTTTCATGTAGGACTGATAATCATTGAAGTATATTTTCGAAAAATATGGATTGCACTTGATTCATCATTATTATCATATTTACACCTTGTTTTTTGTTGCCCAATATTAGAAGGCATTATTCAGAAGTTCAAAATTTAATTTCAGAGTGAGATAGTTGCAAAATTTCCTAGTTTCTACACGATGTATTTTAGTATTAGGAAATCAAAAATTAAGTGATAAATATTATAATAGTGATAGACCGAATGTAATTCATATTTTTAAATACATTGTTAAATGACTATGAATGTTGCAAGACAAGAATCATATAGATTTCTATGTAAATGTATTATTTAAAAAAAACCGAGTGATCATACAAGAAACCTATGTACAAGCGAGTGTTTATTCTTTATAAATTCAACGAATAAGTAGTTAAAACAAGATCAAGTTCGAGACCTTAATCTTACGATAAAAATTATTACATTTCATCAAAACGAACAAAGCTTTTTCAGTGCATAAGTTTGAAAACAAAATTATTCTAGAAAACTCTGTTTCTTTTTAGTTGATTTCTATAGTATTCTTATTTTTTTTATTTTCTTTCGTCAAAAACTTGATTTTAACATTCAATGGAACTATTCAAATTATCTCTAACTTATATTATTGCTGCAGTATTGGATTATAGTTCGAAAATTGATCTGGAAAAAAAATAAAATCGACGCATAAATTCAAGCACACATAATTGCGAAATCATGACTTTTTGTTGTTAATGTAATATTATGCAGATAGAAAAAGAGGAAGAGGTGATAATGTGAATATTTATTTTTTCGACCATCCATAAAATGGCTATTATTATCGTTGTTTAATCTACTCGATCACAGAATGAGAAGAAAAAGGTAAAACAAATATATTATTTCTATAAGAAGAAAAACGTATGTATCTCAATATAATACGCTTGTGACTAATATCTCGCACTTGCATCAAATTACATAAATCGAACTTAATTGCGCTCCACATTTAAGCAACCTTGATAGAATAATTTTGTTGTCTTGTTGTGAGCAAGCAAAACGTAAATATTGTAAAATACCATTGTCTTTTCGTAGTTCTTCATCATTAGTATTTAGTCGATATTTCTAATCATTAAATAGTATCACTAAGCTTGTATAGTCTTATATTCGTATCAAATCAATCACTTTTCTATCGATAAAATTGTTCCAACATTTTTCTTGTCAAATAAATACGATATATTAGTTTTAGTTAGATTAATCTTTGAACAATGTGTGTAGCAAAAATAACCAATATGCTTGGTAAATTCTACTTTAAATAATAAAAAACTTTTCTGTAGTCTATATTTCATAAAAATTCATGAAACTTTGACAACATCAAAAGTTGGACATGATGTTGTAGAAAAAATAAGTGATTCAGAGAATTTCCGTTAAAGATTTTCTCATGAACTAGGTTTCTAGTGGAAAAGATTGTTAGTACTACATTCACAGTACAAAATTTTGAGTTAATTTAATAGCTTTTCTAGTGATGTGAACAGAATTCGAGTCAGCAGGTCTTCAAGACACAGTATGTATAAGTGAGTATATAAATTGAGAGAATGAAGAGGAAGAATGTGTACTTGAGATTGAAAGCACATATCTTCTGTATTTTTGTTGTACAAGTGTCATAAGATAATTATACATGACGAAAGACTTTAGTCATCATTTATTGTCGAAACGTAACATTCTTGATTTGAATAATCTGATCAGAATAACTATCATTCCTTTGTTGAAACGAATTTTGCGTATTTGAGAATGTATGAGACAAAAAATGAAGAAATAGCTGAGAAAATGTTCTGAATTAGCTGCGACGATCAAGTTGTCGGATTTTGTTTACCTGCAGGCACTCTCAGCTACTCGATAAAGCAAGAGAGACGTAGTGATACTCTTTGGAGCTTGCGATGGGTTAAACTACAGGGTAACAGTTATCGAGTGGCGATTTCAGTTGCTCCTAAACTGATGATATACATATATGTCGATTGATGTGGTGCTAGATGTAGACAGAGATAAATGCAGTCCTTCCTCTGACACGCAATAATCTCACTTTGATAAATTTTAGTTATGTTTATGAGAGCTGATTGGTTTTGAATGTGTACATGATACCATTTTGATTCATTAGAGGAAGAGTTTGTTTTATTCGTTTGAAAAATTGACAATATAAAAGAATTAAACCACGTGTTTTTTTGTTTGTTGAGATTAACTTACAAATTTGATATGTATTTCATCGAAAATCGTGACTATTCTAGATTGCTAAATAAGACTTGTTTTGTTATAATTGTACGTAATAGTTTACTGAAAAAGTTAGCATATAGGGAACAGTGACATGCTGTTTTGTACACAATGAAACCAACTTGAATTTAACTTGATAATCTTCTAGAAATGCACGTTCACTTAACTTTTATAAAACTCATATTTAGATATTCACTTGTATGATAGTTGCCGCATTGCTCTCTTTTTTGCGATTGTTAACAGGTTGCTTCTTGGATCACAATTAGTCAATGATCATTTTAATTATACCTCGACAGGCATTTGTTACATACATATGCACGTAAATTTCTATCTCTAGGCCATATCCTATCACTCTAGAGAATACACAATTATTGTACTAAGTTTCTCATCAATAGCAAATCATTCGACAATTAGGGATAATGATTAATCAGAACAAATGAACGTATTTATTTATTTTCTTACGAAAATAGCACACAATGTAGTAATGCCATAAGAAAAAATTCAGATACACATTCACATGAAATAAGTAGAGATGTTGAAATGTGCTCACAAAAAATAATGATTCATGTTCAAAACATGCGGTATTTAGTAAAGAGAAGACGTATCTCTCGTAAATATATCGTATCAAGCACTCATAGAAGGTGAGATGACTCTCTTTGGATGAAGATATGTCTTCAGTTTCGCACCTACTTGAAATGATTTTGAATGCATGTTCTCAAATAATTGCAATCTTCTTTCATTTAGCATCTTCTTTTGGCAAATTTCGTCGTTGCTCGTTTCCACTTCCAGTGATAGCACCATTTTTAATTGATTGTTTTCTGAATTTCAAAGTCAAGATCAAAAGTACAGAATGACTGTATTCTTCTTATTCTCTTGCATCACTGCTGTGCTTCTGTGCATATTGTCAACGAGAATAAATGCACAAAACTCGTGTCCTGCTGGCACATAGAATGAAGATGTAAGTTCCAATACATCTCAATCTTGTCGTCCATGTCCTGTTGGTTCATACAATGGAAACATTGGACAAACTTCATGCCTGAGTTGTGCACCAGGTTATTATTGTAACACTGCTGGTGCTACTAGTCCAAAACCATGCCCAACTGGAACATATAATCCTAACGCTGGTTCTATCTCATCAGAAGCTTGTGTCAAATGTCCTGTTGGTTGGTACAATCCAAGCACTGGACAATCCTCGTGCCGCAGTTGTACACCAGGTCATTACTGCGATGCTGTTGGAGGTATTAGTGAAAACTCATGTCCAGCTGGAACTTATAATTCGAACGGACGTTCTACCTCATCTCGAGCTTGTATAAATTGTCCTCTTGGTTCCTACAATGAAAATATTGGACAATCTTCTTGTAATACTTGTGCACCGGGTCATTATTGTGATACTGTTGGAGGTATTAGTCAAAGCTTATATCCGACGGGAACTTATAACCCAAATGGAGATTCTATCTCATCTCAAGATTGTGTCAAATGTCCTGTTGGCATGTACACTCAAGATGATGAACGATCCTCATGCATCAATTGTATACTGGGCTATTATTGTGATACTATTGGTGCTGCCGATGCAAAGCCATGTCCAGCTGGAACATTCAGTCCAAATATAGGTTCTAATTCGTCTCAAGCTTGTATAGAATGTCCTGTTGGTTCGTACAGTGAAAATGCTGGACAATCATCGTGTACCACTTGCATGCCGGGCTATTTTTGTGATACTGTTGGAGCAACCGATCCAAAGCCATGCTCGAAAGGAACATATAATCCAAACATGGGTTCCATAACGTCTGAAGCTTGTATTAAATGTCCTATTGGCTCATATAATGAAAATTCTGGCCAGTCCGAATGTAAAACATGTACATTGGGTCATTATTGTGACGAAGTTGCAGCTACTAGTCCAAAACCATCCCGAATCGGAGCATATAATCCATATATAGGTTCTGGGTCGTCTGAGACTTGTATTGTGTGTCCTATTGGTGCCTAAAATCTGTTTGCTGGGCAATCGTCATGCAGTAATTGTACACCAGGCTATTATTGTAACTCCACTGGGGCTAGTGATGCAGTAGCATGTCCGGTCGGAACATTTAATTCAATAGTGAGCTCGGGCTTGGCTTCAGCTTGTGTGAAGTGTCCTGCTGGTTCGTATAATCCATACATCTCACAATCTCCATGCGCCACCTGTATGATGGGCTATTATTATGATGTTGTCGGAGGTACTCTTCAAAAGCCATGCCCAGTCGGAACATATAATGGAAAATCAGGTGTCTATGGCGGGGTATTATTGTGATGTTGTTCGAGCTATTCGTCAAAAACTATGTCGAGTGGGGACCAATTAATCCAAAGAGAGGCTCCAAATCTTCTCAGGCTTGTATTAAATGTCCTCTTGATTCATATAATCGAAATATTGGACAATCATCATGCACCAATTGTACTCGGGGCCATTATTGTGACACTGTCGAAGCTAGTAGCCCAAAACCATGTTCAGTCAATACTTATAATCCAAGGATCGGTTCGAAATCATTGCGAGATTGTATTCAGTGTCCTGCTGGTACGTACAATCGACTCACTGGACAAAGTTTCTGTCGTCGTTGCCCGTCTGGGTCTGCGTGCAATTGAGTTGTGTAAAAGTACTCACGACAATAAGTAGAAGATCTTAGAAAAATTCTAAGAAAATATTTTTTTTCTCATTCAGCTACATTATTATCCAGAATCTTAACCAATTGAAAATGTATACAGTCCTTCATTTTGATCTTGCTTCTTTGCATTTTACTAACATATTTAATATTTTTTCTAATAAAAATTGCAGTGGACATGAAGTGTCGTCCATCAGTCAACGGAAAAAAACGAGTGCTCGATGGTTTATTTCATAAATAGGAAATGAGTTGTAGCGAATTTCTATTCTACAGCGGGATTTCTTAAAGACGCATATACTCGGGAGCAGAGTTAGCACCAGTCTAATTTCATTCTAGATGCATGTAGATTTTTACCTAGGAAAATACAACTAATTTTAAAAAAAATTTTATCGATTTTAAAGGAAAATAATCAATATAAAAAGAAAATTAAAATATCGCTCGTTCGAAAAGGCCCAAGTTTGAACATTTTTTGCCTTGTTTTTTTAGTATTTTCTTATAATTTAAATCCATAGGTAGAAGTTAATTTAAAAAAAAAAGATGTTTTGCCCATTAAGAGAAAAAATTTTTATTCTTTTTACCTGTACAAATAACGTAACGCTTCTATCTCGATGATAACTTGAACCTAAATTTTATCTTCACAAGAAAATGTATGAGCTAAGTTTAACTGAATTAATATAGTTTCAAATGCACTTTTTTAAAAATAAAATGTATATTAATTAAAGAGATGGAATAGATTGAGAAACAGAATAAACAAAATGTATAGTTTTGGAAATATAACAAGTTGGTTATTTTTATAAAGACATAAAAACTTGTTATCAACAAGTTTTATCTGAAAAAGCTGTATATTCATGAAATTTATTTCAACAGATAAAAACCGGTTGGTGAAACAGCTCCAGCCGGTCCGATTCCAACTTTGCTCTGGAGGAGATAGTGAAAGTCAAGAGTTGCAGAAGAGCTGGAATCTAGACAAGTTCATTCTCTAAGGTGAATAGCGATTGAGTGTACCGACACATAAGTATTCGATTATTGCTGTGGAAGTGAAGCTTAGTGATGGTGTGAAGAGGAAGCACGAAGGAACGGAATCACGTACTTCCTTACAAGTATAATACAGGTAGATCTCATTCATATGAATACTGCATGTTCCAAACTCATATCCAACCGTGTTGCTTGTGTTGTGATTGTTATGGCAAAGATATACAATATGAATTATCCAACAGACATCTATCAATTCTATAGTCTTAACGAGCACAAAGATTTATGAAATTTCACTGAGTTCTAGGTACGATGTAAATAGTTTTCATTATTTTATATTGCAAGGAAGATATAAGAGTTGGTTGAAACTAACGAAAGAACTTAGTCAAGTGCTGAACACCGTTTCACTCCATATTTTGGATAAGCATAGGACTCATTGAGACAAAGAAAACTCTAAAACAATTTAAACTGATGACTTTTACAAATGATGTTATGGTTGGAACCTCAGTTTAAGAAAATTGACTTTTCTTTGCTTTTTGTCCCACCATTTTGTATTTGTTCTGAAAAGTATATATGAATGATTTAGTTTTCAAAATGAACTCCACCACCTCTACTGTATCTCTTTTGGCAAATCAAATTTCTAAACAAGCTGGATTTCGATCCTCTAAATAATCTAAAACAGCAGAACTTGCCGAAAACCATTACGCAATAATTGAAAATTTGATGTTAGATTCTTTATGCACAAGTGAAGGTGATATTGCACTTGATAGTGAAAATAAATTCGATGATTGATACATATCCTTCATATTCACATTTTGGCTGTGGATTTCATTTCTCACATACAGTTTTATACCAAAAATGCTTCCAAAGTCAAAGTGCATTTTTATTTGCTCTTAAAGGTTTTTTAAAGTATGAAAATCTCTGAAAAACATTAGAGCAAGATGTAAATCAATATTACATTCAGCATAGGGAGAAATAAAAAGAAATGTAGACTATCTAATCGGTGGACTGTGTTGTCACCACAATAATATAACACATATGATACTCCTCTTGCCAAAGGATTAATATATTTACATACCAAAATTGTAAACATCTTAAAAACCGAATATCCCAGTGCATATTTTCGATGCACAAGTAATCTTTCAATTTGTTAGTTTAACACTAAGGGTATTAAGTTGGCTGGAAGATGATCAATTTTCTTCTTAGACAGCACACAAAGTTTCATTGTTAGATGTTTGGTGATAAGGAGCGTAAAACAAAATAAAAGCATTTCGTAATGAGTAAATTCAAAAACAGTCTATCTTCTTCTTATATGGGATGTAAGTGTGAATGAGAAAAAGATACCTCCACACTTACACCCAAGATCAACCTTTGGGTCATCAATAAGTTCATAAGAAGGACATTCATGAAAAAGCAGCTAATCGTCAGATGATATATTACGAAAATAATAATCGATGATAAACGAAATAACTGATATATAGGTACTATTTTACACTGAATTCCCACGTTGGTTAACTGAGATATAAATCAAATGTTGCAAGTGATTAAATTTGCATTAACTATGTATAATTTGAGATTACATTTTGTCAATAATGCTAAGGAATATTGTTCAAATAGAAATAAATCAGTTCTTTCATATGTCAAATGATCAATGAGTCTTTAATGAATTATCCAGTTCCATATATTAAATCACAAAAATTCATACATAAGTGAAAAAGCATAAGAATGCCAGTATTTAACTCATTTCTAGATCCAAATCCTTGACTATTCTTTGATTATGACCATTGAATAAGTCAAATCACGCCTACCATACATAGTCACAGGATTCTTTCATAGTACAGCTTTAAGAATTAAACAGTCTTTCTTGTTGAATAACGATTGTCTTTAGTTTATGGTTGAATTGTGTGTCAATTTACATTGCTTATTCTCAGTTTATAAAGTCGTTACTATTAGACGAGTGTTGTCAAACACATGACAAATTTTGTATTCACATCATTCAAAACAGAAACACCTAAATGGAATAAAAACATTATTTTAGCGATCATAGTTTTTTTTACAGTAGTCTTTGATGAAGGCCTTAATCGTTTGCAAGCTGTCTGAATTATTTTTCATTACCAATTTCTCGTTTTTTGATTGAAGCAAATAGTCTTATATTATTCTTATTTCAGATAATGAACAAAAAACAGTCATCCAGATATTCAAATAACTTTCTAGAAAAGTCTTTAATTCAATCAACTAGTTTATCATTCGATCAATCAAAAGAGGAGCCACTCACACCCATACCCAAAATCCTAGCATGTATTACGTGACACTTTCCTATATTATTTCATAGAAAAATAAGTATTTTATTGTAGCAATAAATAGTGATTACGAATTGCAAGAATACACAAGGTTAGAATGTTTATTGTAATTCCCTTGTTTTTTTCGACATCAGATTTCTCTTATTCAATAGTGCAATCGTTTTCTTTTTTTCTTTGACATTTATGATCAAGTCCTCGGTTTTGATTTGAATCGGGAGATTGTGAATAATACATATTGCAATAAGCTCTTCCTGACATTATATAATTGTAGTTGTTATCATTAAAGCATACATCTAGAGGCAGTGTTCTAACATTAACTTCCATTGATTTCTCACTTTCAGTTAAATCTTTTACTGATGAAACTTGATAATGATAATTTGTTGCAGGTTTTAAACATGTATCAGTAAATGATGCGAGTCTAACATTTGCTATTTTATTTCCATCACGATAAATATTATATGTTGCAACGTCTAAAACTGTATTCCATTTCAAAGAAATCGAATTACTGGTAATATATGTAGATATTAAGCCATTCGGCATTGCTACAACTAATAAATTATCTGCTATTTTAGCAGTAACGAAATTTGAAGCTATACTTTCAGTACCTATCGATGAAACAGCTTTAACAAAAAATGTGTATATCGTACCAGAATCTAAATTAGTATCTGTAAATGTTGTACCACTTATGATTTCATTATTAGTTTTACTAGCATTTCTGTATATATTATATCCATTTGCACTTGAAACATGTTTCCATAAAAGAGAAACTGAATTATGTGTAGTAACAAGAATCTGAAGTTCAGTGGATGGATTTATTTGATGAAAACCACTCGTTATACGATCCATCATTTTTTTAATAGTACTCAATTGTTTACCACTTTTAATGTCAAAGTCACTTCCGTACCATCCAATCCAGTCCCAACAACCATTCGCATTTGGAATTGGTACTCTATCTGGCGAGTCTATTGTATTTGTAGCAGCCGTTTGTGGATATAAAATAATAATATTATTGGTATCAGCCCAACGATTAAATCCTGTATTTTTAATGTATTTGGCTCCAATTATTTCATGACTTTGCTGACAACCATGAAAAGTAATGTGCAATCTACAAATGGCACCATCAGAACAACTTTTAGGGACATAAATCCATGCTGTATCGCTTATTCCATATGCACTCGAATTCATTAAAAATTCTCCTTGATCAAATTCAATAAACTTTCCATTTAATGCTCCATTATTTCTTGGTTTTAAAGGTCCATAAATATGTTCAAGTATAGCTCCTGCTCCATCGAAGTCACAGTTACTAATAAAAGGACTACTTGCCGAACCACAATCATTATTACCAATACTATCAAAATCAGTTGGAAATGTATGTGCGGCGTTTAAATCATTTTTAAATACAACATTTGCACTTGGAATAAATTGACCATCGGTCACATAGTATTTATATAATTGAGTCATTACGGGCTCACCAACTAAAGAATCAAATGTTCCCCGGATCAAATAAACTTTGTGTTTTGATAGATTTTTTATATCATCAATTTCGTTTCCACTCCACAACTTTGTATTTGAAATAGATTTTGTAATGGATGGACTATTAGTGAGCATACAATCTGTGAAAGTCATTTGTGCTCCGCAATCATAGGGACCACCCGCTATGATTCCAGCACCTTTTATCGAAGCTGAAAATGCTACTTGTACCTGTGTGGCAAAGTATGCACCAGAAGATAAACCGGAAACTGATATTTCACTTGGATCTACATTATATGATGATAAACTCTAGACAAAAATATATAGCTATTCTTAAAAATGAAGACATGGGTATTTTGTCGATGTTGATAACTATGAAAGATATTTGATACATTCGCCGCGATATGATTATCGTTTTTTTCATAACTCATCAAAGGCTTCATTTCTTTATGAGTAGTAGAAGAACTAGCTCCTTTGATCAAAGTATGACCGAGATATTCAAAAATTTCTATGCTAAAGGAACTTTTAGATCGCTCTGTTGTGGAGCCCACCAGTAGACACAATCCTGTCGAATGTGTTGTATCAAAATCAATTATGCCCCCCTTTAGAAACTTTTTACTTATCATTTAGAGAACAATTGTCGAATTTACATAATAGAATCGACACAAAAAGAAAATTAACAATCTCTTACCTCAGCTGCATAGCAATAATTGATCAGGAAAAAGATGAATAAAATTGACATTAGATTTATTATGCTATAGCAAAGTTGCTATTTTTAAATTTTAATCGTTTATGTAAAGTATTTTGTTAATTAATAAAAAATATCTAAAAATAGACTTTGCTAGGACTTAGTTTAACTTTATACTAAAAATTAATACAGATATTTAGATAAAATCCAACCACTAAATATTAAACTCACTCAAGCATAATGAACATCCTACTATGAAAAAGACATTATTCTATATGTTTAGAAACTGTTATTTCTGGACTTTATTTTTACCTCAGTCCTATTTACACGTTTATGTACTTACAAGGACAATTATCTCGATAGGGATGACTAACAAATACAACATATGTAAAGAACGAAAGAAAAGGTAATACCAATAGAGATTAGAGATGAAAAACGATGAAGGAGGTCCATAAAATTGAAATATGTATATGGGCGACATCGCCATAACTGAGTAGGGTGCCAGTGTTGAGTTTGGGAATGAAGAAATATCTAGATGCAAGCAAATCATCATCCACACCTACGCACCATGAAAATAATATGAACTCAAATAGAGATCATTCTGGAACTCTCTTAACTGAATATCTATCATCGTCCTAACAAACCGATCAAAAGCTCGAGTTTCAACATCAACGACAAATTATCTGTTCTTAAACGAAGATATGATAAAATTAAATAATAATCTACTAATTTAATGTAAGAAAAGTGAATAATTGATATTGAGTATGTCGATGGCTTCATAATTTTGTATAAATTTTCAACATCATGAAAAAATGAACGATCATTTATAATGTTAATAAATTTTGTTCAACCATATTAGACCATCTAGTAGTAACGATTGTGCTTTCCAGAGGTTATGGGCGGATGGATATGAGATTTGTATTTCTGTTCGCTATTTTCTACATCGACACACTTTTTTATTTCTTTCGCGAAAAAATTGTCATTGGCTGAAAATCTTCTCTTTTGTAGGTGACTGACAAATAATAAAAATTCTGATCCCGTGACTTTAAGAGGTATGGGTGTGGGTGGGGTGTGGGGTAAACCCTACTTTGGTGGAAAGGTAAAAATATCGAAAGATAAAAATGTCGAAAACAAAACTACGGGATCTTGATGTGGGGGTAAGAATTAGAATGAGGGTGAAAGAACTTCTTTTCCCATACACTATCATTTTTAACATTTGTACCTTTCGATATTTCTATTATTTTTATTTTCGACATTTTTACCTTTCGACATTTTTACTTTCGATCAAAGTAGGGTGAATCGGGTGTGGATGTGAGTTTGGGTGGATGTCTGTGTGGTTGTAGGAGCGGATGAAAAGAGTATATCAACACACCCATACCCAACCACACCCACACCCACACCCAGTGTTCAACACGTTTTGTTTTTGTTTTCAATGTGTATTCGAAATCTTACCATCAATTAAGATAGTCTTTCAAACATTTCTCAGAGAAAGTGTGTCTCGAAACTTTCAAAATACTCTCGAGGTTTTTTTAAGTGGTGTCTGAATGAAAAGGAGAGCTACATCTATCGCTACATTCACACTCTAATTTGGTTTTAGTAGATTTCCAACTAGGACTTGCGCATTTGATTTCTCAAAAGTAAATACCTTTCGATTTACGATATGAAACTTGTCGCATACTTTAAACTATAAATAAAAAGAGAAAAAAATAAAATTTGACACGGAGTTGTTGACAGCATTATCTCAATGGCGAAGAATAATGGTCTCTTTAGTCAAAGAAAAAGTATTTACTTTTAACAAGTAAATATAAAATTCCATCTCTGTTACTAACTCCTTCAACAAACACAAAGTAACTAGTGTGTTTAGGCACTTTTAACTTACAAACGACAAGATCTAACGCTATTTACATTTGCTAATTGATTATTCATACGCAGAGAAAGAAAAATCACCATTTCTTTTTAAACAAATACAGTAAGCAAAACAGTAACTGTTCTAAGACTGTATATCATCATCTACAAATTTGAAAATTTATCGTATCTAATTCGACACTAAACATGAACACAATATTTAATAATAGTTTTCATGGATAGTCCATAGTGTCTATAATAAGAAAATCTTATTAAAATTTATTTTCAAAATATCACGCTCTGCAATAATAATCAAGACAGATCAGAAAAAAAAAATCTTCTCAAAACTGAATGTTATATTTAATGTTATAAAAATATCTTCTATGGTTAATTGAAGTTTTTTTTTAGAAAGGATAATCTCTGACTTAGTATAGTATAATTGAAATTGCAAATTAATTGTCTTGATTTTTTCCAACTAGAAAATATGATATGCAGAATGGAACTAAAAAAATAAATGCTAATGTATTAAGTAACCTAATGTTTTTCATATTATATTTGAAGATCTTTTTAATAATACTACAAACTAAAGATCTTATCGCTAGATCAGATGGTAGACAGATGTATGCATCATTACTATGACTAGAACTTAAAGAGAAGATATTTTCTTTTATTAGATTCATCAATTTAATCATATAATATGACTACCATTCACAACATTCAATTCTACGATGTCTTTCTCAACATTTTGTTCTTTGTTTTCTTCTTCACGCATTGGCATTAAATTTTTGTTACATATCTTGTAGATTATTAGCTTGAGTTCATGTCGAAAAGCTTTTGAAACGGCAACAAAGATGAAAAAACTTATACAAAAAGGTATATGATGAAGAATAGAAGTAATTCCATTTAAGAAATTAGCAATTGCTTGTTGGATCGGTGTTTGTATATGATATTTTGTTGCTATATCATAGACATTGTATATACCGATAGGTAAACTGAAGATGATAAATACAATATTATGCGCGAATAGACATCGAAGCAATTGAAAATCTTTTTTCGTCATTGAACGAAATTGATTTCGTTGTTGACGTGGAATAACTCGAATTCGACGAACATTTTTAAAAGCAACAATAGAAAAAATGATAATTATAAAACAAAAAAGAATATTTAAAATTAGAGTAGAGTAAGAAACGAAATCAAGATAACGTTTAGACAAATCATAATAACAAAAAAACATTGAAGGACTAAGTTGTTGAATATAGACTTGAACAAGAATGTGAATGTAAAAGACAATCCAGATAAATGTGCTTATACTAAGAGAAAAATATGCTAAACGTTTTGAGCTATACAAACGAGTATCAATATTTTGAGAAGAAATTAGTAAACGATCAATAGAAGCAAATACAAGATTATTAGGCAAAAGTGTAGACGTGAGAAAGGCTAAATAGAAATAAACTTTACATAGTATTGTGCTTGAATTTTGAAGATTGATATTGAAACCAGTAGTGAAGATTGAAGTAAGCATAGTGGAATTAATATAACATGAATTGAACAAAAGACAACAATTGAAATAAAATACGCAAACATTTTTTCGCCAAGATTTTTTGAAAAATATCAAGGCACTTAACAAGTTTCCAACATTACTCACGATATATAGAGGAGGAATAACATATCGATTAAGATAAACAATAGTATTGTTAAGAATATTGATGTAACCATTGTCATACGAAGTCATTATAGTTTGAGTTAAATGACGAACAGTACTTATTCTTCTCTTCTCTATTCAAAAATGATCACTTTACGCCCTCTTTCTTATTATCAAACTCAAATTTGCTTTATAATTATATGATTATAGTAATCTTCTTAAAGATGCAGGGTGATCCAAAAGTCACGCGTCAGAGAAAAAAATAAATATCTCTATTACGGCTGGAGCTAACTAGCTAATTTTTTTTATCAATAGTAGAGACATGTTCACGCTTTATATCCATAAACATATGTCTAGAGAAGTCCTTTGTTAAGTAACACTATTGATCTCAACAAAAAACATTTACATTTTTTTACAGATAAAGAAAAAAAACAACATACTTAACAAAGGATCTCTCTAGGTATATCTTTATTGATATAAATCACGAACATGCCTCTAGTATTGATAAAAAAACACCTAGTTTGTTCGAGTCATAATGGAAATATTCAATTAGTTTTTGGTAAAGTGACTTCTCTGCCACCCTCTACATTGTTTTTTGCCATCTGTGAAAAAGTAAAAGCTTTTTGTTGAAGTCAATATTAATACTTCAAAAAATAGTTTCTCTATCCTTGTCTTGATGGATATGGAGTTTAAACATGCGTTTACTCATGGTAAAAAAATCAGCTAGTTTGCTCGAGCCATTATGGACATTTTTTTTTTTTCGGGTGCCTGACTTTTGGGCCACCCTGCACTTACTGAATATCTATCTAATCTTATCTGAATAATGTGACATATTCTTTGACGGTAATATAAAGTTTAAGTTATTTTGGCACAATTTTATTTCGAGCATGATTTAGAAAATAAAACCATTTCACAACGAAACCAATTAGAACTCAAACAGTATTTATTAGTACCTGCCACAGATAAAGTCAGCACTTTCATTTTCTCTTCAGTAAGGACAATAAAATTGAATCTTTGTTTTTTACTGATTTTCCTTGCCGAAAAATAAAGAAAAGGAAAATCAGTAAGTTAAATGGATATCAAATATTATAAAAGCTTCGGCCACATATCATCCGTTTCTAAGATAAAATTTTGAAAGATACTAGTTAAATATTCTTTGTTCAAATGACTAATTGTGAAAAACATTTCTTGAGAGATTCTTCCTGTAGAGTACCAATAGTCTATTATTAAATAAGATTCAAGCCTGTCAAGAAGATAAATTCTAATGAAGTTTTGAGTTTAGAAAAATCAAGAAGAAATGAAGGTAAAATTTGCTCTTGCTTTAACATGTATGATTCGTTCAGTACTTTCTGAGACCATATCTTGTATATTGAAAAGTTGCTTAATCAGTGTCTAAAATAGATTTCAAAACTATTGGCATTGCTTTTAGCTTATTAAGATAATTAATCAACTAACATACTAAAATAAATCACTTAATTCAATTAATTTATCTCTTCCTTTTATATGCGACGAATTGTAGCAACAACTAATTTTCATAGATTTATCTTTATATTTTCAAAGCTGTCGG